TATTTAATTGTTTTCAAATAAAAGAATGCCTAAAGATTATTTATAAAAGTAAAAATTATAAATATAATGAAATAATATGAAAAAAATCAATGTTAGCAATGCGCCCCTGATGTTGGTGAGGTAATTGTGACTAAATGTGAATATTCAGTATTATTTGCATATTAATTAACCTTTAATCAATAAACCATTAATTAATATATAATTATTAATTGGCATATCATTTAGATCTAATGAATTAAGCACCTCTAGTTAATGCAGCATTAATTAGATATTAATTTGCATATAATTCGCATCTAATTAATAATATGGCACAATACTTGACACACATATACATATATATCTTTCAGAAAGAATAAAATCCTTGGAAGTAAACAACACGTTTTGAATATCTTATCTTGCCACTCACTGTAAACTTTTCTCCTTAGATTTAGTTCTATGAATATGTCAGATAAATTGACAGATTATTTTACAGGTCTGTAAAAAAACCAACGGAAGTCACTGTTTAATTGTGTTTGTGAAAATGCGCATTTGTTCAAAATATTATTTTATAAAACAAATCTATTACACTCGATATCTAAATTTGAATGCAAAAGGCATAACCTTATTTGTATTGTTAGCTAGAGATGACTGAAAGTTATACAGATACACGATATTATGCAGTTTGTTGCAGCATATTTCTAGAATGCTTAATGACAATAATCTACCATCTCTTAGAAGATTTTATCCTTGTATTGAATAGTACATCCTTATAACATTGTAGTTTAACGAGATTGAAAAATGCAATAAATTATATATATATATATATATATATTCATTTCCGACTTTACAAAGAGGTTGAATGTGTCATATTAAAACGATTTTAAACTTCACTACGTCATTACAATCCACGTCCAATCATTCTCTGTCTGACAGCTTTACATCTTGCCAATAATTCTGCAAGTCTAATTTCCATTTCCAAAGTCTTCATCGTAAGTCTATCATGTCAAAAGTAAACCACTGCCCCTTGTCTGCTTTCTATAAGCCATCTAGTGTACGAGGACAATGGTTTCCAAGTGACCTTTTCAACAAATCGAACGCACAGGTATCCATAGGCGCTGCATCCGGTGTCTTTATATAAAATAGCATGAACACCCGTTTCAATCTCTAACTACTTGAGGTTGAACACATATTTCTTGGAAGCAACTTGTGTGCACGTGACTTATGTCGTTTTTCCAGACAGAGATTCTTCTTGATTATGTTGTGTACTGTTGCTTGGGGCACGTGGACGGCTTCTACCAGTGACCTTTGTGTTCGTGGATTTTCAGCTGTTACAAAACGCAACGTACCAAGGCTGGTGTACGTGACTTGCTGATTTGTGTATTCATGATTCTTTTAATATAAAGTACGTAGCCCTCTGTATTTCATAAATTATGCTTTCCATAAGTTCTTGGCCTGGCATGGCCAGGTGGTTAGGGCGCTCGACAAGCAAATTATTTTTATCTTTACCTATAATAATAATAAAACAGAACGAATAATGTGTTGTTACCCGTTTCTTGTGAACTTTGTTAAAAATTCAACTAACCTATGAGTTAAAAAATGTTTAACGAAAATTATCAGGACATTATAACTAAAAAATCTGAATTTATAGGCGTTGGAACCGGAGTGGGGTGGGGGCTGGGCTCCTCACTTTTTGTGCCGCTAAAATATATATAGTCTTATATTAAAAGTTGAAATGAAGGAATGAGCGGAGAATACAGCAGTAGATGGAAGTACAATTAATTTTGATGTTAGTTATTAATGTCGTGAATATTCAGTTAAATTCATACCTGTGTGCATATGAATTGAGATATCACTTTTTCTGTTGCTTATTTTTTTAAAGAGTTATAGTATTTGCTGTTTGGAACACTGCTTCCAGCGAAAACCCAAATTTTAACATATTATTTACGAGCGACCACAAAAACTATGTTGCTGTATACGTTAGTCTCACATACCATGAAGTGAGAAGGCAAGATGGGAATTACATTACAGGCTGTCGACATGAAGTGTAGCCCCTTATCCCTTCCTCCCAACACCAGTGTACAGGCCTATATATCTTAGCCTACCCCCCCCCCCTCTCACACACACTTTCAAATTCACTCCGCCGCCTATGTACTCGCATATTACGCTGACTGAATGATAATATTAATTGTTTAATTAATATAGCTTTATGGTTGGTGACAGATTAATTAATGACTGTAAGTCTGAGTAGTCATTTATCTCTGTGTTTGTTTAAATATTTTGTTACATATCATTGTCAGATTCATGCTCTAACACGTATTCTTGTATCTGATGTGGCAATCAACTTTTAGCAATGTCGTAATAACGGTAGGCCTTTTGACCTTGCACTTCCTTAGGATGATAGGGGCTAAATATCAGAATATTTCGTAATGATGTCGATATCTCGTCTCATCACTTTATCATGATGCAATGGTAATAGCAAAAACGTCTCATGAGATGTTGGATAGCTCCTTATGACTGGTGCAGTTGCATAGTTTTGGTTTACAATAATGATCTTAGCAGTAAATTTCGACACTGTTTCAAGCGCAATCGAAACGTGACTTCGAACAAGCTCTTGGAATTTTGAGCAAAGAATAATTTAAAATAACATTTATAACACCCTAATTCATAATTTAAGATGAAAAACTGTTAAGAATAAGTAAAGTCCCTTACAAGTCATATAAAGAAGAGGTAATAACGCTACTGTTCGTATTGTGGAATATGAAAATAAGGTTACTACAAAAGCTTGTACAATATTATTATAATGTTTTAATTTCCACTCATTTAATTGACATACATATTCATTGTAGTAAAGCCAAGGAACCATCTCTCATGCTCATTATTTCTTTATAACTAAAGCATATAGAAATATCACGAGAAACAATTACATGAAATGCAGTATTATGAACATTTGAACCACTTTTCTTCTTCATGTGATAAACACAATGTTTTCGAAACACATAAATGAAGTAATGATATGAACTTTATACGTTGTTATGTCAGAATATATTAATGAAACCTGTTTTACAGAATCCTCGAATTGATGTATCAATTTTTATAGACTAAACAGAATTTAACGTATTCTGGATTGTTTGATACTTGATGTTTTTCTAGAGAAATTTTAAGTTATTTTGCTAGAATAGAACTTAAATTTTTTATTGTCACCAGAATCGTACATATGTGGTATTTTTTCATGGTACTACCCATAGAAGCCCCCCAGTAGCACAGTAGTATGTCTGCGGACTTATACTGCTAGAAACCGGGTTTCGATACCCGTGGTGGGCAGAGCACAGATAGCCCTTTGTGCTTAATAACAAACAACAACAACAACTACCTATATACGGGGATTGTTTTTCTCAAGTATATATCTGATGTTTCTTCATGATACTATCTATGTACTGGGATTGTTTTCTTAAGTATGTATCTGATGTTTCTCCATGATACTATCTATGTACTGGGATTGTTTTCCTCGAATATATTTGGTATTTTTCCTTGATACTATTTATATACTGGTAATGATTCTTACAAGTATGTAGCTGGTGTTATCCTATAGTACTACCTACATACTGGGACTGTTATTCTTAAGTATTAAAATATATTACACATATATTCTGATCATCGCACGTAACAAATTCGAATAATTTAATTTATCAAGAATAATATTTCTCAGATGAAGGGAAAAAATAATGATTTCAACAATTCAAGATAGAAAGTATTATGTTAGTAAACACATCTCAGATTATCATAAATTTATTTTCATCCATTTTCTAACCACAGTTGAAATGGGGTTGTTTTCAGTTATATATAAGTATTCTTAACTTTCTTATATTGATCTGCATCTAAATTCTTTGTTGTGTATATTTTTATCGCCATTTATAAATAGTAGTTATATTCATAGTGCTAGGTTAATGTTTTGTGTTTATATAAATATTTTAGTTTGTTTAATTTTTACTTGATATTGTTTCTGAGATGTAAATTAAAAAAGTTCACTCTTTATTCTGAAAATTAATTAACAGTTACGTTACGAACATTTATTTTCATAATCAACATGTGATGTTCATATTTAAATGGCATCGTTTTGTATTTGTATTTTCTATGTGTTTATATATGACTCTGTGTTTATTTGTGGCATTGACTTACAAGTTCTCAATGAACTAATGCGCATTAAGATATATTGTGTTCATCCCTGATTCGAGACGTGATGATAAGGACGTACACCTTTATTGAATATTGTATATTATTTAGTTTTCGAAGGTTCTCAGTTGCGTTTATGAAAACCAGTAGAATGAAATAAAAGCAAGCAAAGCAGTTTCTTTTATACATTTTATTTCAATGTATTATCCGACTTTGTTTTGTTAATTTGTGGTCTTGTTCTCAATTTTAAGTATTATAGGAAGATCGCTTATATTATTTCATTCTTTAGCTCGGAATAATGACAATTTTTTAAAGATAATACCAAATATTTTATTTTCATCGTTATAGCAAAATACTATGATCATAACTTATTAGGATGACATTGAATGAAAGCTAGAAATATCACTAAGTTTCAGCACAACACGCAATTACTTGACCAATATGGTCTAACAATATCTTGACTTCAGTGACTATGTAACAGCTGGAGTCATTGATATTTACAATATTTACAATCTACGATGAAATACATAAGAGATGATATATCCTGTTAACTTATAGGTCATAATTAAATACACAAGAGAAAAGCATTTTACAGTAAATTGTCACAGTTGATGACTGACAACTATCTTTTTAGAGTTCTTACATAAATTTGCTTGCTAACTATATTATAGAAATGCTTGATGAATCACGTGAATAAAAAAACTCAGGAATCAGCAAAAACTTAGTTAATATACAAGGTAATAAATTTAGTTCTAAGATAATATTAGATAAAACCCATTAAAGGCGCCACCATCACTATTCAAAACGAATAAAGAGGAGAGTTCGGTGTTTAATAAAATTATGGTGATGAAACATACAAGAACACATCTGAAACAGTGCATTTCAATTCATACTAATAATTTGATAAGACTTTAATAAAACTTGTCGAGTTCTGTGTCGTCATCAAACAAGAAGACAATACACTAAAGTTAACGTTGTTTGAGTTCAGATTTTTGTAATCTAATTGGTAGCTTTCCTCATAATGAACTACATAACTTAGATGCCAGATGATACATGTGAACTGCGTTGCAGATTATGGCTATCAGGTTGACAATGGCACAGAGTATGTGGAACTTCCGAAACTGGATGTGAAGTTTCGTGTAATGAGGGCAATAACGCAACCTGCCGGGATCGTGACGTCCTACTTCCATCCCAATTCCTGCTTCCTTTTCAATGGCATGCCGGGCTTCGAGAAGTCCAACCATTACAGGTAAAATGTACAACCGCGCTACCACTTGAATTAGAAAACATAGCGACAAAGCCCATATCTGAAAAAGTGAAAAGGTCTGAACTTAGATTGAGATGAAAATATTTTTAAAAAGCATGACTGTTAGAAAAACAACCCTTTTAAAAAATAAACTTAAAAACAAATTGTGAATAAAAGAATTAAAAATATAATTATAATACAAGTTTTATCGCTTGAGCATTAAAGCAACGAAAACATCAGTGTGGACTCAATAATCAATATTTAAATAAAGCGTCAAGGTAATATACGAGAACTGAAGTTTTTATAGCAATAAGTAAATGAGGATTAAAACCCATTTTAGTGTAAATCTATTGAGATGGAAGTATTTCTAAGCATTGTTTGCAGTTAGCTCAGTTACTGACATAACGGTCAATTTTAATTATGCATAAATTATACATATTTAGTATTATTCACATATGTTGATCAAAACCTGTTCTGTTGAAATCTTTAAAGAAGGGCAAGCACGAGCGTCCCTCGGAAATAGATTCCGCTAAGGTGGTGATGAAGGACGAACAACGAACTTAATAATAAATGGTAGGCAAAAAAACGAAAAAACGAAAGGAATGTACAAGGGAAAGCACGTGCCACCGGTGCACGTGAATCTGAGCACGTAGGCACCACACCTCCAGTTGAGTCACTAGTTTTCAACCAATCAAATACTTCGGTTGCATTGTAAAATGCTTTTAAATGGAATATCAAGTTAAATTACAAATGAATATAATATATGGTTTAGTCTAAAATTTATAGTTTAATCCTGTTAATAAATGTTTTTTCTAACATAAAATAGAAATTTTTCCCTGCGACACGTACTTCCTTGTCTTTTTTGTAAATTGAGCTACACCATATACATTATGCACAACGTGCGAAATAGAACATTATATATAATATATACATTATGCAGACACATATAATAATTTTATGTATTTGTATTACTCTATTTTAGTGTTACGAAAGAAGATGATTTACAGTCTCACCTGAAGACGTGGTTCGCTGTTCTTGCTGTTACTCTGGTGTCCGACGAAAGTGGCCAGAGTGACGAAACTGAGAAATGCGTTGAGCAGGAAATATTTAGGAAATAGTTGTTTTTGAACCATGCTGAACAAGTTGCGTGGAAGTTTGAAGAACAAAACGATACCTACAAGAAAATGACACCAATAAGATCACAAAAAATATTTACAAGTATAAATGTCCTTTATAACATCTTGAATAAAATTCATTTTAACGTAATCTTTGTATGATACGTACACCATATACATTACTTTATTAGTGAGATTTGTAACGCATTTTTTATGCAACTCAAATAATTGTACAAATGTAACTACCCTACCTTTAAAAAAACGAGTAATATTCATATTAGAGTACTTTAGAGGTAACATTTTGCCCTACGCAGAAACACAGACATTGTTCTTTATTAATCCTATATTTGACACTTTGCTCCTGTGGCCAAATTGCAGTTTTTATCATATCTGATGAATACGCTGATCTACAATTTATCGTTAATTTGATTTGCCAAAACATTAATATCCTTTAAAATAATCCTTAATTGACTATTAACATCTCGTATTTATAGTTCCTTAATATTATCTTCCATTTGAAATATATGAAAATAAAAACAAATTAAGAAAATAAATACAAAACTGAAACTTATTTAAAACATTCAGAGGGTAATTGATATTTACCCGATATAAATGTCATCCATATTTGAGTACCAAAATGTATTGCAAATGAACTCAAGTACAATAGCATGCTAATAGTGGAAGGCTCCTTTGCTGCTATTATTTGTGGCTTTTGTGGATATAACAGAAACCCAAGGTAGACGACAGTCAGCAAGGTAATCAGGTGAGCTGGCTTAGAAAATCTCATGAACATTCTGAAACACAAAAGGTCAAAGTTACTAGTGATTTCTGACGCCAACATTCTATACTCAAAATTCATGGGAAATTATAACTATTTTAAAAGTATTGATTAAATTGTAATTATTTTCATCATGTGCTATCATTTGAAACTGGGAAATAAAAAGGATTCTACATAAAGAATATGGAAATATAGTACTAATACTATCGTAAACAATAGTTACATAAGGAAGCAGATACCTGTCTCACCTTTCTTTCGTCTTTCCTATTTAAATTAAATCTTTATCAGGTGCGATAAATTCTAAAATTTAGGTGATGGAACTCATAAATTTATCGTAAAGAAGGTAGCTCTAGTTTCTGAAATGTAATAACCACGCCTCTTTCTGAGAAATATAGCCGAGTAGCAAAAACGAAGTAAAAATTAGGTCGTACTTACGATAACTCCAAGTTCTTTGGTATCTTCATCTTGTGAAACGGTGGTTTATTCCACATCATCATATTGAAGGTAAAAGATCCAAAGCAAATATTAGAGAGTTTTTAACTTCCGTTGCTTTAAGTCTATTTGATGCTTCTGGATGAGTAGCTTATAAGTTTTTCCAGCTGCTCGGTTCATTTATAATCCCGCCTAGACCGATTGAAGGGGCTTACAACATAATATGACGTCACATCGACGTTACTGGGCGGGGTTAGGAAGGACCTGTCGTATTGGAAAGAAACATAAAAAATGACTTGTCAGAAAACCGACGCGTTCCCAGGAGAAACCGAATCCTCGTGTACGTGAGCGGGCGCGCGTCCCGTTCCTGTTGTTCCATTTATTTCGTATCTGTGGATAGAAGAGGGAGGGAGAGAAAAGATCCGTACTTGACGAGGAAGTCTAGAGGGGTGAATTGGGGATTAACGTTTATGTTCTTCTTGATTCAACATATCTTGTGTCAGATGGAGCCATGTTTGTTAAGAAACCCAGGCTTATCTTTCCACCATATCGCATCACTTTGTAAGAAATTGATTCAGAGGAAAGGCCCGGCGGCTCCTTGTCATGTTGGTATCTTCTGACCTCTGATTCGTTCTGTTAATAGCCTTCATTTATAGAAATTAAATGGTATTCTCCGTTTCTATCGAGGTCAAGGTTTGTCTGGATGATCTGATATTTCTCATAGGAATCACTAAATGGTCTATAACATTAATTCATATTCATTTTTCATCCATTAGACCCTCCTGACTTCCACCCCTTCTCCATTACAATCAAGATAAATACAGTTTCTAGCTATTGAATTGGTCTACAACATTAATTCATATTCATTTTTCATCCATTAGATACTCTTGACTTCCACCCCTTCTCCATTACAATTAAGATGAATACAGTATCTAGCTATTGAATGAGAAGCTAATGTTTGTTTTGGTGCATTTTTCTACGACGTGAAAGGTGCACTGTGATTATAATTTGTTTCCAAGCACATTTGAAATAAGATATTTGAGTTATATTGATTTTATTTTCAGTTTACTGGCTTGATTTATTATTATCGTAATATTTCAGTCACATACGACGGTTTAGAAATTATTTTGCTTATTGCTACATGCTTTCAAATGAGTACTTTTTGAAAGCTGCTACATCAGTTTTAAAGAATGAATACACATATCGTACAAACTTTCTGTGTAAGTAGTTTTGTCAAAATAAAAATGCGTAATTGCAATTTTCTTTTTAAAATAATGCTTGTTTGTCAAAGTGATTGCAACTTCACAGTTGAACCAAACTACTCTTTCAAATTTAAAGGCAAGTGACAATAACGTGACCTAACGTCAAGAAGCTTTTTTGTTGTTGTTAAAATAGAGCCTTTTAAGTGATTGTAAGTTACGTTAGACGTCATATTTATGCATGCTAGTACTGCAGTGATTATAACTTATAAGATTTTCTCCTAAAACAAGCAAGTGTGGGTAGATCAGCTAAGACGCCGGTTTTAGCACGGGCAGGAGAACAAAGCCTATTATGTATCTTTCTAGGCTTCACATATCTTTAAATGGCGATATATTTTCGAGCAGAATGTCTGCAATCTTTATTTAGGGTTTTGACTGCTACATAAAGCTTAGATAGACAGACATACAACAAAAGTGGAAATTTTCAAGATAGTCAATACAAGCAGTATGTAAATGTCCGTAAGGCGAGCCTTCTGGCTTATCTGTATTTCACTATGAATAAACGTACGTTACTACTTGTTTATATGTAATAGATTGTCTTACATGCCAGTGACTTCAAATATATCACAATAATATCCCATCCAATATAAGCAATAAATATTCAATGTACGTTCGTTAATGAATAATTGTTGCGGTAGCGTTGCCTATATCTATGTATTAGCTGAGAGCTTCAGCGAAGAAAAAAAAAAACACCTTCGGACTGAATAGTGCTTATTAAGTTTTAGCTTTTCAGTACAATCTTGTGCCAGTTTGTTTCCTTATTACATGTTTCATTACAACATTATGTTTCAAGTTTTTAAGTATACAATTTTATCTGTTATAGGATGGTATGAAATTACATTACATTGTTTGTTTGAAGTTAAACACAAAACTATCTCTGCTGTGTCCACCACGGGTATCGAAACCTGGTTTTAAGCGTTATAAGCCTTCAGATTTATCGCTATATCACTAGGGGGAGCCTTGTAAGTGAAGAAAGAAAAAGGCACGGACTTTTAATATGCTTACATAAAAAGTACTATTTTGTATACTAAATGACCGTAAGTGACCTCACAACCTGATCAAGAAACATCTACATATCCTAAAAACTCGACTAATATATTGCATTGATGCTTTTCAAAATTATTAAACTAAAATTATTCTTTGTGAATATGCTATGTGAATATTTTGTTCGTTTTTAAGCGCAAATCTATAGAATAGGATATTTGTGCTATGCCCACCGAGGTTATCGAATCTTGAATGTTAATGTAACAAGCCATCTACGTTACTGCTGAGCCACCATGAGGAGGGGCGAATATTTTGTTCAGTGCTTGTACGAGTAGTAACCACCATCACAGGATTTTAAGAACTAAGAAAGCGTCTTGTTTGGGATTTGAAATAATATCAGACAGTGAACGTTGTGCCCGGATTTGTCGAATTCGGCACTTTTTATTCATTTGCTTGCTAATGGCGAAAAAAACTTATGGTTTTTGCAGTACGTCAACATTACGAAGAAACAACGTTCTCTAACATCCTATATGTAACTACTCAGAGAAAACCAAGAAAAAAAAATAGCAGCGTCGCAAAGATAACTATTATATTATATATATAATACTTTTCTTAAATAGGCTCTTATTATTAGAAAAGAACGTCAACTGCCAAAGCAAAAAATAAATGTCCTAGAGTATGTTAGTTTCGACCGTTAACGGCAAAAGGTTGTGGGTTTGTTACGTGTATTATTAGCACGTAATCAGTTGCTATACTGTTGTTAAAACTGTGGGAGAATTTCTTTTCTGCGTGATTCATGGGAGAGTCGAACGAATGTAGAACTTATTTCTTTGCTATCGATCTATTTATTTACTCAGAAAACTACGCCAAAACAACTAGAGTTTGTTAGTTTTAGTCTAGCTAAGTGAAGTTTAAATCCATTAAAGATAGGGCGAAGCTATTATTATTATCCCTTTTCCCTTTAGACTTAGAACATTGATGAGCTCTCTCTCTCTCTATATATATATATATATATAAGTATATTTATTTGTCTATACCATTATTCTGCTTGTTTGTATGTACGACCATTACGCTTTCTGACCGAGAATCTGCTGCATAAGCATGCGTAGCTAGAATGTGTTCCCCAAGAAAAACCGCGCATGCGCATTATTCACTCGGCGACAAACAGTCTGACTGCGGCAGAGAGCTGCAAAGCTCAATGATCAAGTCTCT